TTTTTTGTGAGTCTGATCGACAATATGCATGAAAGAGAAAGTAGGAGGAGAGAGAAATCATTTTTATTAACCAAATATTATTTTTATCATTATTAATAGACTAATATTCCAGATAGTGTCACTAATAGATGTTCTCATTCTCTCTCAGTTTGGAATGAGACACAGACCACTCACTGGATAATGGAGTTTGGAGGAAGGCCAAGAGATGCTGAGTCAACAATCAATGATACAGCATTTATTGAAATCAGTGAGTACATCTATACATCAATGTGTATTGAATATGTAATACTATCAACAATACATACCGTAGGGTGTGTTTTAGGACTAAATTTCGCGGATTTCACAATTTTTTGAAAATTTGTGAAAATTACTTCCATGAAAATCAAACCATTGCCGTAAAAGATGGCAGATGGCATAAATTCACAAAAATCGGCAAAATTTGTAGCCCTAAAAAAAGACAGCCTATGGTAGTGTAGCTTTATATGAGCTAGCTACTGTACAATGTGCATTAAATTTATATTTAGCATTTAAACTTTGTTCATGCAATGTAAATTATCCCAAAATAATTACTACATGTACATGTATACAGTGTATATGAGGTATTTATGGGTGGACGTGTGGCAACTGTTGCCACACCGACTAGTATTACTTAAGAATTAACAACATTGTTTATTATTATTATTATTAGTATCTAATACTGGTCATTTGGTAGTACAATCGGTACTGGACATTAATGAATATCAGAAGAGAAGAATACAAGGTATTTATATACTGATTTTGTGTTGTGTATACTGCAGAGGCAGTTTAGAAGTTCATTTTTTGGGGGGCAGTCATAGGATGGGAGGGCTGTGATCAACTAAGATTGTGCATGTACATGGCAAAACCATGGCAGACCTTTTAGGGAAGTCAAAGTTATGTATCAAAATGTGCTCCTTCAGTCCTTTGTTGTTTAAATATTGTCTTTCATTATACATGTAGATGCTGTAGGGAAGTGGATGGAGGAAGGGAGTGTTGATCTAACTGTTACTCGTGTTAATATGCTTGGTGCTCCTGGAGCTGGTAAAACCTGCTCACTGCTCCTCCTACTAAATGAAGATCCACCGACTAATGACACCAGTACACCCATTGCCTGCCCTGCCGTTAGGACTACAAGAGTTGCCATTTGCGATAAAACGATTTGGAATCGAGTGACTCGAGCCAATTTACTTGATCAATTAGCAGCGGATTTCGAATCAGTTTCACAGGAAAAAACAACAAAAGAGCTTCC